AAAAAACAAATTTGAGTTCACAAACTCCAATTTGTTACCCTGTTTGTTGTCTCCTGAACTGAACCTCGGATCTAGAATCTCAGGTGGTGTTTTGGAGCTGCCATCTTAGCAGTTCCAGTATGAGCTTTACTGACATAAAACTCCTTGTTTCAGGGTATTGCCTTTAAAGTGACTGGTCCTTCCATTATGCTTATATATGCAAGAGTTGTAAAGCAGGTATCTTGGCCTGTTTAAGGGTTCCTTCCAACCAAAACTGTACTTTTGTGGCCAAAGAAGTAATGTTTGAAGCAACTCTCCCTTAAATTGCAATATAAAAGGGAAAGAAGGTTGGCTGCTCCCATATGATCAGTCATGGGAGAAGCTTTTGGTGTAATATAGATAAGCCTCTAAGATTGTCTAAGCTGCACTATACCCAAGTACAGACCTGGGCAATTTATGCAGCTTAGTTTATAGGCAGCCTCTTTGCTGACGAACTATTCCGCATCAAGCGAGCTGCCTGAAGGCACTTGGCATGAATGCTCAATGTCAATAGCAATACTAGAGCCCAGAAAGTGGGATTAGGACTGAGTAACCACAGGACCACTCTTCACTTTAAGATGACACTTTGAAAAGCAGCTTATGTAACTACCAATGCTGGTATATTGTCTGATATATTAAAGTTTAATAAAAGTGAATGTGTAAATTGCTGCTTAATGTTTAAGTACAAAATGAAAGTAAATGTACTGAGTTGTCAGCTGCTAAAGTGTTGTGTGACTTTTATGGAAAACTATGCATGGTAAGTAGTAAATTCTGTATTTAAATATTCTTCTTCTGTAGAAGAACAGAACTTTAATGAGGTTAATGGCAAAACGAGTACAGGTAGTTAGGAGACTGAAATGTTTTTCTGAAGTGTAATGAATTCATTGATCACTTGTTATTAAACTAGCTCTTTAAGCTCCAGGATTTAAAATAACAGACATAGTTCCCACCGCTTTGCTTAAATGGTTCATATAAGCTATTTTTTGCAGTTCAAGAATGCTGTTTAAATGTTCTGTTGTGGTCTTAACTGCCTCTATCCTTTATTGCTAGGACTGGGCTGATGCTAATGTTTCAAGGCAAATTGAAGACACTATACTCTATGGATATTACAGTAAGTTTAATGTCTAATTTATCAATTGATGGAAGCAAACGTTAGGTGAAATATTGTCTTGAAGCCTGTGGGTGTTATATAGAGTTATTCCTTTTCTTGAATAAATATTTCTGCACTTAAGTGAATGTTAAACTTGCCTTTCTTGTGTAAAATCAGTGCAATTCTTACTGCATCACTTCTGAGAGTATTGACCTCCAGCAGCTATTATATTCAGAGTAACAGCTACAATAAATGAACGTAAGGGAGCCAATCCCAGGGTGAGGTGAGTCAAATCTAATAAGATTCAACAAATGCTGTGTAGTACTTGTCTTTTAAAGTTGTCCGGTAATCATGATCTGATGATTAATGAAGATATTTGAGCTGTCTGTGGAAAATACAGTTTAAGTAAACTGTTTGCCTCAGCTAATGATATAAATGCAAAACAAAAGTAGTTACCTAAACTAAATTTCCTAGAAGTTAAGGTTTTTCTCCTTAATTGTTAGTCCTTGAATATTTCAGATGAAGAAATATTTAGTTTCAAATTGTGGACTTTTTTGTGCCGAGTTGCATAATACTGCTGCCTGAAACTGATATACAGGCAAACAAGCTAAAAAT